ATTTTATTTGATGATTATAACTGAATTGAAATGATATTGGAGGTTAGAACATGATAACTTTTCTTATAAAAGTATCTAAGATGGTCTCATAAAGTTTCAAATCCTTAAGCCATTTTGTATCCCAACAACCAGCATAAAAAATCATTCTGAATCTCCCTAAACTTTTAGGTATCCCGAAAAGCCCAAATTAAAAAAAAAAAATTAGATGCAAGCACTGCGTTTCGAATCCGCGCACTCACAGTATCAACTTTTCATCACCAACTTACACCACTGAGCCATTTCATCACTCATTGATAACATTCAATGTTAATAAATCTTATACGTTGTTTTTTCCGAATAACACAGGCACAGGACCCACTCGACTGCTGACGTGGATAGCCTTAGGAGCTTCAAAAGTGAATCATTATTATATAGATTCTTAAATAATAACTCTATTTGGTCATCGTTGGTGTAGAAAAATGTGTTTGTTTCTCCTCAGTTTATGTTGATACATTTTTCATATATTAATGTCACTAGGGTAAACCCGCCCTACGGGCGGGCGAATAAATAAATTAATAATTAAAATTTATTTTAAAATTAGTTTTAGGAAAAAATACCATTAATTAAATGTTAAACATATTTAATAGATGAGTTATGGAGACAATATAACTATACATAAATTTTTGAATTTAATTATATAAATATTTAAAATCAAATTAATTCCATATTTGAATATATTTTGTTTCATTAAAATAAAATAGTTTAAATCAATGGAAAATTTAATTACTATACAATACATAAATTTTACAATGACTGGTTTCATAAAATAAAAATACTTTTAAAACTATAATATTGTATATTGTATTACAGATCCAATAAGTTGATAGCTTGATACATTAACAAACAGTAGTACTCGAAAGAAAAAAAAAACTTAAAAGATGGGCTAAGATTTGTTTGTACGGAATGAACATATTTGTTTTTATCATATAAAAAGAATCTACACTCATCACATCTCACAGACACATGCCCGTAGAAGTTATATATCACAATGCATAGGAAGATATACATAAACCAGAGCCTTCAGAAAACTTTATATGATTGTTTTACCACGTATATATAAAAAAAAACAGGAGAAACTCTCTTAATTAGAAAGAACATCATGATAATTGTGAACCCTTGAAACGTTTCCAAGAGGTGACGAAGAATATCAAGAGGTGAGAAGCATAATGGAGATGCTATCAGGAAAATACCTAGCTGCCACCATTTCCTCCTTAGAGATCTTATGAATCTGAGCTTGCAAAACCTACATTCGTAACACAACATGCTCCATCATTCCTCCACAGTTCACAATGGCCTCTCGTTCTTTCTTCTGCACCAAAATGTCGCGTTAACGCATCTAATATTACATGTCTCTGGCAGCATATAACATACATTCTGAAACAACAACAACAACGAAAGACAAAACCACTTATATAATTAAATTACTCCTTTGAAGATTATATCATACTTGATCCTTCCAAACTATTTAAAAATATTACGTTCAGATTTTTGTGAAGATCTTCATTCCTTGTTTTCTTTGTTTCCATGTCTAACCTCTAACATTTTCTTTCTCTCAATGCTTTGTCCTTGGTTTCAAAGCTTTTAATAGCTTCCTATGATTTCCCAAGATTATCTCTCAGTTCTTGCCCACATCAGCTTTATTTTTCTCCACCTCATCTGACGTTGTTAGATCTACATGTCTCTTCATTTGATCTTGCCGCCTTCAACCCTTGGGGTCTGCTGGTGCTGGACTCTACCAAAGAAACTCACATGCCATACCAAAAAAAAAACATAACAGTAACTTTGATCTAAAATAATTTACAGATGGTGATGAGAACATAAGGAAAAGAAGAAACATAGAACTGCTGGACTCAACCACAAAAAAATCACAGGCCATACAAAACACATATCATTAACTTTATCTAAAATTATTTTGAGGTGGTGATGAAAACATAAAGAAAAGAGGAAACATAGAAGTTATGTCGAAAACATATAACAACTTATTCACTACCTTTCATGCTTTTGTCATTTTGTGATGTTGGGAACATGATCAATTCAACCAAATATGTCAAAATCCAGAAGTTCAAGTACTATTGAATAGCTGTCCAGCACTGATTTTCCAACATCCTGCAAAGTAAATATCAATAAAAAATTAGTACATATTACAATCAAACTCAATGAATTTTCTTTCGTCAGTTTGTTACCTTATTTTATTGAATGTTTCATATATCTAACGATGTATGAGATGAATTCGGAGTAACGTTGTTTCTGTGTTCTGAGCAAATTGACCTGGGCCACTCATGTAGCTGTAACTTGAGTCACCACCAACAATGCTTTTAAAACACTGCATACATTAAAACTATTTTAATAGTTAAGAACATGAATCACAGATAAGAATCTCCAAAATATGTGTTAGATTGGCGATTTTACATGTTATTAGGATGATGATTCACCAAAAGCATGTCAACCCACATCAATTCACCACCACATCTGGGATTCCTCGCCTCTCATAACAGAACCGGAGCAGTTAAATCTCGACGGTGGAAAAGGACCGGCTGAACTTCAACTCGGATAAGAAAACTCTAAAGGAAGCCATTCGAAAAAAATAAGTATGGTGAGAGAGGTTTGTGAATGATTATCAGAGGAGGGAAACGGACCTATATATACATGTGCCTCCACCGACTCGGAGAGGATGAGAAAATAGTGATTAGAGATCGTGGTGGAGGAGTTATTGCGATGATTAATGCGTCTAAGACGGTTTATGGTGGAAGGCTCGCCTCTACGAAACTGGATCGTCACACGGAAAGCACTCACAGAAGACTCCATGACGGCTAGCATCGAGTTACAGGGAGAACCCTAATTTCGTTGATGAAGGAGACGCTAGACAACATATCACTCTTGACGGGTCAGGATGAAAAATCTTGGTGGGCCAGAAAAGGCAATAAGCCCATAACTTGTGAACAATAGAATGCATCGTTTTGCCGTGTACAGGTGGCATAATAAGAAGAAATGATTTTATGACGTGGATGAGCAAGAGTGAATCAACTCTTCTTTATATAAATAGATGTCTTCCCTTCTTTATATGCATGCCATCCAAACCAAAATCAGCTTCTCTTCTGTTAGATTTACCTTCAATTAGCTTTCCATTATGAACACAAAATTTTCTAAAAAGCAAAGTCCTATAAATATTAGATCCGGTTGACCTGTAAGTCACTTAGGTTTTTGGCTTTTGTTTTTCATAGCACAACATACGATTCATACAAATATATAAGATTAGCTATAACTTATAGAGTATCTATATGTGTTGTATTTTTTAATTTGACTATTTAAAGGTATTCAATATATATCTAAATACATTAATTTATCCAGAATATTCTAACTAAGTTAAGATTCATTTGATCAAATCTAAACTAACATGTTAACCAAATAAAATTTATTGTATATACTTAATTCGTTTTCATTTATTTTCCTTTTTCTGTTATATTTAAAAAGTTAATTTATATTTACAAGATTTTTTCTTTATATTTCGAGCTCACTATTTGTGAAGTCCGTATCTACATTCTTTAAATTTCATATCCTAACATCTTATAATTAAATCCTAAAAGAAATGGAAATCAAATATGCTATTGAGTATTGATCCTATAAAATCTTGAAACCAAAATATACCTAAAGACCCTCTTTAAACCTAATGTTTACTATCAACTCACTATAAATAATCTTCCACCACGTAAAACATTTTACATAAACTAAAAGGCAAAATGGCTATTGTTACGGCAAACGAAATCACTTTGGTGAACACCCTCAAACCATTTTAAAATACTAGGAAGATTGAATGCAAAGTTTTGTATTCATGCACTAAACACTCATTTTATTCTGGTGGAGACTATCTTGAGTTCATACTAGCAAATAAGACAGTAAGTGTTAGAATTTTTAACAATTTTTATTATAAAACTTATACTGTAAACGTCTAACTGTTATGATTATATGTAAATGTAGGGTGCTAAGATACACTTTATTTTATCTTATCAATTTATCAAATACTTTTTTGTTGACCTGCTGCGTTTTTTAAAATATACATAAATGAAACCCATAAAAAATAACCTTCTGAACATTTGAATAAGCACATTATTAATAAAAAAATATAAAACAATTTGCACCCCTAAAATTAGTGAATATACAAATTATTTAAAATAAATAATTTTGTAGAAAGTAAATTAGAAAAATATGCACTTAAAAAAAAATCAACTCCTTAGTTGTATAAACTAATAGGAAGATATTACAATCAGTAACCAATGTAAACCAACCAATTAATTACATATGTGAAAATCTATACTACTAAAACCTAACACCATATACAATCTAACTACTATATTTAAACACACACCAATACTATACATGTAGAGATATATTATATCCAAATAAATATGTTTTCAAAATATAAATCAGAAATTTTATAATCATATAATATAGAATCACAAATTTTCATGAAGACTTAAGAAAATATATTTCCGCGCATAGCACGGGTCCGTATCTAGTTATTGAGTTAAAGCTAATGCCCCTAACATACGAAACTTAAATAAAGTAACAAAATTTCTTTATTCTGACAATGTTGAGTGCCACTGGAACGGTATGTTGGATATCAGTTAGATCCTTTAACGTGGATAGATTAAATCCATCTATAAAACACAAGTTTCTTATATGCATGTTGAAAATTATCATGCCTACAATATAGAATCTGTGCTACTACGTGTTTTTCTGGACCAAATCTAGGGATGCATACTATAAAATGCATTATGTGCTACTACGTGTTTTTCTGGACCAAAGCTAGGATGCATACTATAAAATGCATTATTTGAGAGAAGCAATCAACTCAACTTAACATGGGGGTACTTAATAATACCTGCATCGCATGCCTTTGTTTGTAATAGGTGATAGCTAGTAGTATATCTATCCAACTAATGTACATGCTTCAGTTTCCAAACATGGCTTGTGATGTAAGCAGTAGAAAATGGTGATTCTGGTGTCATCTAAGTAGGGTCGTTTAGCTCACTTCCCCCTTTCAGACTAATGTGCTTTATTCATCTTGAACCTATGTATCTGTACGCATAAACATGAATTGGTGGCTATAGGTTTGAAGAAAGATGATTTCTTTTTTGGCGATATAAGCACATTGTATAAAGGTTAAAACACCATTGTTGATCTGAAAATAGACGGCCACTCAAGTGTAAGGAAATATCTGTAGTGATACTTGCTTTCTAATCTTTTGCACCTTGGTTGTCCATAACCATATTACTGAACATATTTATGCAGTTGTCGACAAAAGTAACTATCAAAAATCTCATGCCATCTGCCAAAGCTGTTATTAGCTTCAAAATACCTGATCACAAGTCTGGCAAGGTAAGTTCATTATCTGTGTTTGTGTTATATAGAAATGTAATGACTACGCTAGTTTCAGTCCTATTGAAATTTATGTACTCCTGAGTTTTAATTTGTTTTTTGTTTGTTCTTTTTCAGCTGGATGTGCAATATGTTCATCCTCATGCTACGCTTCATTCCAGCATTGGCCTCAACCCAACTCCTCTGCTTGATATATATGTCAGCAACTATCGGAAGCCAAACTGATTACCTTGGTGGTGAAGTTGGTTTCGACACAGCTTCCTCGTCACTAACCAAGTACAATGCCGAAATTGGTTTCAATAAGGCAGACTTCTCTGTTGCGCTCGTGCTGTAAGTAACAACAACACGATATGCTTTTTTGTGGTTTTCTTATGGAACTGAAAAGATTGCTAACTTGTAAGGAGGACAAAGGGGAGAGTATACAAGCTACTTACGTCCACACGGTGAATCCAACCACATCCGTTGGTGCATCTTTAGCATCGGAAGCTCTTACTCTTTGGATCCATTCACAACGGTGAAGGCCAGACTCTCTAATAATGGGAAAGCAGGGATGGTGGTACAAAGTGAATGGAGACCAAAGTCGCTGATAACTCTCTCAGCTGAGTATGACTCAAAGGCTGTGACCTCGTTACCGAGGCTTGGTCTCGCGCTCTCCCTTAAACCATAAAAGAAAGAAATGGATGTCTCAGTTTGGAATACAAATTGAACGGTTCATTTTTTTTACCAAAGTGCTATAAACCACTTCCAAAGGAATGTTTGTTGGGTTTTTAAATCACTTATTGCATTAATGTTTTGATTCTTTCATTGTGATGTGAAAAAAAAAAAGAGAGTGAAAAAACCCAACTTTGATAGATCGAAAGCTGTTTTTGTTTCTTTAGACTTTGGATTTGATTTGGTGACAGCAACGAAATAATGGAAAAAGAATTTGAGGAAATGAATGTACAAAAAAGAATAGAAATTTTGTTTAATTTGTTTTTCATCATCTGTTTGACAAAATTTTGAATTAATTGGTAAATTACAAAAACAATGAATCATCATATCTTTTTGTAAAATGGGATCACTAATGAAGCATTTATATTCATGTGAATAGGTGAAATGAATTTGATCAGGTTAAAAATTTAATTCAAAGTGTAAATGACATCATTAATATTATTATTTTGTTAGGCCTTCTCATATCAAAAAAAAGAAAAGACACCAGAAAAATTATTGTTTGAGAGAACGAAAAATTTGACCAACAAAAATAAAGAAAACTAAAAAAGAAAAGAAAAGTCTAAAATAAATCTTCACTATAAATCAAATTCAGCAACCCCTCATTAATAATAGGCCACTCCAAAACCCAAATTTGTTTTTTCTTTTCTCCATCTTTATACACTTGTTCTCTTCCAATGGCCCCCACTCTTTGCCTCTCTCACCATCACCAGGCTATCTACCAGCCTTTCATTTATTTAATTTTTCGTCACAACTCCCTTTTATTTCATTTTCTCTACAAAGCTTCCTGTACAAAAATTATCAAAAAGAAACATAAAAAAAAAAAAAACTCTCATCACCTCTATAAATTGAGAGAGACCCATCTCTTCTCTCTTCTTGATCTCTCAAACCATTCACCTTCCCTCACACGCCTTAAACTTCACACCCCTCTCTCTCTAAAAACTTCCTCTGTTTTGAACATGAAAGAGTATTGGACATCACTAGCCTCACTTCTCGGCGTCTTAGCCTTCTGCCAAAGCCTAATGCAATCAATCTTCCCACCAGAACTCCGTTTCGCCTTCCTCAAATTCTTCAACCGAATCTTCCACCTCTTCTCCTCCTACTGCTACTTCGACATCACAGAGATCGACGGCGTCAACACCAACGAGCTCTACAACGCCGTCCAGCTCTACTTAAGCTCCTCCGTCTCCATCGCAGGCAACCGTTTAAGCCTCACCCGCGCCGTCAACTCCTCCTCCATCACCTTCGGTCTCTCCAACAACGACTCCATCGTCGACACCTTCAACAACGTCACCGTCCTCTGGGAACACGTCGTCACGCAGAGACAAACTCAGACCTTCGCTTGGAGACCGTTGCCCGAGGAGAAACGTGGGTTCACTCTCCGTATCAAGAAGAAAGACAAGACACTGATCTTGACTTCTTACCTCGACTACATCATGGAGAGAGCCAACGAGATCCGTCGGAAGAACCAGGATCGGTTGCTTTACACTAACTCGAGAGGCGGGTCGTTGGACTCGAGAGGACATCCTTGGGAGTCTGTTCCTTTCAAGCATCCGAGCACGTTCGAGACTCTCGCGATGGATCCGATCAAGAAGCAGCAGATCATGGATGATCTCAAGGACTTTGCGGAAGGACAAATGTTTTATCAGAAAACGGGTAGAGCTTGGAAGAGGGGTTATTTGTTATATGGGCCTCCCGGTACTGGTAAGTCGAGTATGATCGCAGCGATGGCGAATCATCTCGGTTACGACATTTACGATCTTGAGCTCACTGAGGTTCATAGCAACTCGGAGTTGAGGAAGCTGTTGATGAAAACGAGTTCTAAGTCGATAATTGTGATCGAAGATATAGACTGTTCGATTAATTTGACGAACAGGAAGAAGAATAGTAGTAGTTGTAGTAATGGGACCACGCAACGGAGCTATTACGACATGGAGACACGACCAGGGAGTGGTTCTGGTGAAGAGTCTGGTAATGGGAACACGATAACGTTGTCGGGTTTGTTGAACTTTACTGATGGGCTTTGGTCTTGTTGTGGAAGCGAGAGGATCTTTGTGTTCACGACGAATCATATCGAGAAGCTTGATCCTGCATTGCTTAGAAGTGGGAGGATGGATATGCATATACACATGAGTTACTGTGATTTCCCTTCCTTGAAGATTTTGCTGAAGAACTATTTGGGGTATGAGGAGGAAGATGTGGACGACGACGTTTTGAAGGAGATGGAGAGAGTTGTGGAGAAGGCGGAGATGACGCCTGCTGACGTGAGCGAGGCTTTGATCAAGAACAGGAGGGATAAGGAGAAGGCGGTTAGGGAGCTGTTGGAGGATTTGAAGAGTAGAGGGGAGGGGATTGTGAAAGATGGGAAGTTGAGGGGTCATAATGGAAATATGACTGAGTTGGAAATTGTGGAGGAAGAAGAGAAGAGGGCTATAGATAGTCAAAATGAAGAAGAGGATACTGATGAAGAAGAAATTGAGGTTGTGGATAATATTTGTAAAGACTAGAGAAAGATCAACAATGTTGTTTTTTTTTTGTTTTTTCAACTCTACAATGTAAAACAAAAATGGTGAAAAGTTGTGATCTTTCTTCTTTTCCTTTATTTGGTTGGGTTTACTTTTTTGTTCTGTTTTTGACTTTGGTTGGTGAAGAAGTAGATGAAACTTTGAAAAGACATAACAATAATAAATTAGGATTATAAAAATTTAACTAAAAAGAAAGTGAGAGGAAAGTTGTAGAAAGTTGATCAAAAAGGTAAGTGGCTGATGAGGATTTTGTATGTAGGGAATGGGAAATGCAAAAGGTGGATCTCACTGGGTACCATTAGCAGTACTAATTTATAAATTATACTGGGCTAAATATTTGTTAAAATAACTATATCTATATTAGGTGCGAACATATTTATCTAGAATCGAGAACCGAACCAAACCAAACAAAAAAATAGATTTTGTTCGGATTTAGATCATATTAGTTATCCGAATGATATTAGTTATCTGAATGGATCATATATCCGTACCGAAAAACGAAACTCAACCAAAACCTGAATATATATCTGAATTTCTATAATATATTTAATTTATAAATATTATATATATTTAGTTTTAAAATAATAAAATAGGTTAAAAATGTTATTTGTAACTGAAATATCCAAAAACTAAATTAGAATGATACGATTTATCAAAAAAAATATATTAAAATTATCTGAATTATCCAAATTTTTGTTTTAAACTTTGAAAATTGATGTTTTATCCGGAAATCCTAAATTTTTGATTATTTAACATGAATTAATCAAAATATTGAAACCGAATGGGATCAGACATTATTTCAAGTATTAGTCAATTCTCAACTTTGTTACGTGAATCGAATAACGAAAAAACCAAACCGAATCAAACTTTCCAAATATCTGAACGGATCTTAAACCTCTTAAACAAAAAAAAAAACTGAAAGAACCTAATATCCATGAGTAACTGATATTATACATATTGACTGATGTTATACATATTGTTCTAGATATGGTCAGTTACACATATGATCCTACCATTAGAGATATATTAAATACCAAAATCCGAACCTAAATCCAAATCTGAAATGAAAAATCAAATTTATATAGATAACTTCTATCTTTCAGTTTATATCTTTGGTTCTCGAGGTTCTCAAGTTTCAATCCAGATGTAATGGATTGTATTTCAACCTCGGGATAATAACTATATGGGTAAATTGCTTGACGATCTATCCAAAAGGAGCCGTGTCCATGCGGTTTTCCTCTCTCGCATGATCTGGGTCGTAAAATTTGTTAATGGATCATGTAAGATAGTATAAAATTTGCCCTTGTTCATTTTATTATATTTATTAAATCTTTTGTATGTGTAAAAGTCCCGGATTGGATAATGAATACTAATACCATGTTACGTACACTATAATTATGTTTCTTCATTTTTCTAATTAGAAGATTTCAAACAAAAACTTAAACAATATAAAAATTCACCAAAATTATAGTCGGATAATCCAACCTATGGTAAAAATCCTAGTATTTCCTAGAATAACCAACTCAAGATATTATTTATTTGGAGTTGTTATATCTTCTGGTAAAACCTTCTACCTTACGCTGGAGTTGTTAGAACATCCTCATTAATGGATTATAAGGGAAGTTCACACGTTTTTGGAGGTAAAAAGTGGTGAATCCGCATTGCATACGTTCGGTACGGTGATATTGGATCATCACTTATTTACCACGTGACAGGCCATGATTCGCCGATTTTTTTTTTTGTTTTTTGAAAAAATCAAACCAAAAAAATAGTAATTAAAAGCGACTTAGGAATTCGTGTTCAACCAAATCGCTGATGGACTTATGTTCCAGTCTCATCAGAGGCGGGATAAAAGCAATCGAGTCTTGTCCATAGATCAAATGGATAACAGGTTTCGGCCTAAAACTTTTCATAATCTTCCGCTAAAACCTTCTACCTAATGGTGGAGGTGTTATGTTCCAGTCTCATCAGAGGCGGGATAAAATTTAGCAATCGAATCTTGTCCATAGTTCAAAAGGATTATAAGTTTTCGCCTAAAATTTTCATAATAATTTTTTCTTTGGAGTCTATTGTCTATGGTCAGAATTCTCAAGATATTGAAAATCCAAATAGAGTTTGAAAACATGAATATTTGAAACAGTCGATTCAAACAAATTCAAATCACGTAACCTTTCTATTAGTAAATTATCCAGTATCTCAAATCTCAATTTTAAATTATGAAAAATACAATAACTAATACTGTCTTTTCAGATAAGAAAACGGACCAAGCTGATTACTTTCAGACCTCTTGCCACTTTCGTGTATAGCATGCACTTGCCAATTATTAATACTGTGATTGTTATAATTGATACTTTCTTGTGGTGGCAGTACAGTTGTCATATATTAGGTATGGAGTTTAGAATCATCCTTGCATTATTATATTATTACGAATACGTTCATATATGTCAACGAACACTCAAGTTATATGTTTTTAAAATAAAATGTGAAGTGTTAAAGACTTAAAGTTGACGATTTGGTAGATCAAGTTGCTCAAAATCTCGTTTTCATCTCTTTAGAGGTTTGTGTTTAGGATTCCACAGCTTGTACTTACTTTCAATTTTCTTAAATAATTTATGTTATTAATCAGTTGATTTGTTATACTTTTCTTGGCCACTAGACATATCACTCTACATTAAGAGACAAGTATGTAAATTATTATTATTATTTTGTTTGTGAACCGTAGTTAGGATGGATTGTAATTGGTGCTTAATGTCCACATGACATTATTAATTTGTTTTAAATAAAAAAAATGTCATAGTGGAAATTCGACCTAAGAATGACATGTTTCATTCATTTCATTCGCCTGGTTGTGCGAGATCATACTTTAAAAAATTAATGCATTCAACTAAAAATGCATATGAGTATTTTAATGCATCATATATTGCAAGGCAATTTTATATGTTATGAATCATGTGAGTATGTTGACTCTAATCCAGATGTAGTGTAAAGCTAAACAACATGTGCTTTGCTTCTTTTTTTTTTGTCAACCAACATGTGCTTTGCGTATTTAGAGAGAAATAATTGTAAAAATCATTATTGGGGTTAATGCCTATTAACGAGGTCTCATTCTAGTGCAAAGGCCTCTCAAACCATAGTAGCAGATGTCATGATTTTGTTTTGTTCTTACGCTGACAACGCACACTATTTATATGATTACTAGTGCTATTACAAAACACTACGCTAAATGTTCATGATATCTCATATATCAATATTGTGCACATGTTATGCTTGTTTTGGTAATGTAGTAATACTTAGAAATTAACATATTTTAATACTTCTTTTTGTGTTTTGTCTTATATTATGATAAATAGTTTTTCTTTTACACAAAGCTACAACTATGTAAATATTTTTCTATTAGACATCATTTGCTAACGGGTAAATGAGTAACAAACTTGGATGAATTTTGTTTTGATAAACTAAATACAGTATGTACTTTTTGATTCCAATAATACAATATCAAAATCAAATGTATAAATAAATGATAAAAACATATAGCAATAACAATGAGGAGAAGTCAAAATACACAAGTACACAAAACCATACACGACACAACCGAAACAAAAAGAATTAACTTGAAAAAAGGCCAAACTAAAACAGAAAACATTTTCAAAAAGTTATAAACAAATGAAACTCTTATGAGAAAAAACTGTATTAATTGCACATATAAACTCCAGTTTCGAACCTGTGATCTACCACATAGAAATCCGTATTCCCCTCAGCAGCAGCTGCACGTAGACTGATACCAGACAAAGAGCTACTTCCCTGAACCGAAAACTTCACATAGCAGATGATCTCTGGTTCTTCCTCACCATGCTCCGAACCAAGAGGTATCCTCGCTCTTAATCTCCCGGGACTTCCAGTCAGAGGAATCTCAGGGACTTGCCATTTCAGTGGCAAGAAGAAGAAGAAGAACGGCGTCGTTTGTTTCCTTACTCTTGTCTTAACTTATTGGGCCTTAAGCTGTGGTTAAAAACAAGCCCAATTGTAAGGCGCGGCTCGCACGTCCAAGGACCGTCACTGGACGTCATTGTAAGCGTATCTCACCAACTCAGACTATGATTCGATTAGTTTAGTTAATTGGTTAAAGTATCCCAGATGGACACCTATATTTGTAACTTACCATGATTTAACTTAATTATTTTTATGACGGTTTTGCCCTTACATGTGACCATGTGGATGTGTCAGTGCTTCATTTTCGTTAAAAGCTCTCTCTCTCTCTCTCTCTCTCTCTCTCTCTCTCTCTCTCTCTCTCTCTCTCTCTCTCTCTCTCTCTCTCTCTCTCTCTCTCTCTCAATTTTTTGATGATATCAATTTTCTGGGTTTTAGATTACAGAACTGTTAGTTGTTAACAATTATTTTTACCCTTCGCGTTAATAAATGTGTTCGCTGTTAACAAATATTGTAGACGTTAACAGAAGTGTTAACTGTTAACAATTATTTTTACGCTTCACGATAATAAATATTTTGGCTGTTAACAAATATTGTAGACGTTAACAGAAGTGTTATATGTTAACAAATGTTTTTACGCTTCGTGTTAATGAGAGGAAAGAGAAAGGGCATTCTCGGCATTTCCTTACCAAATGGTTGTGTCAGTATCATTCATGTCCAATCAATGGTATTTTGCTAATTTGAGCTTCAAATATGGGTTAGTTCACTAAATCACTCTAGTTTTTAATTGTCAGTGACAGTGTCGGCTCCAAGAAAGTAGAAACCCATAATTAGCTTCTTTTTTTTTCTCCACATATCTCTAATCGTAGATCCACCGGAGAATCAATCCATCCTAGTGTCAATGTCGACTCCCGAAACCGCCGTCAGAGGATCGATCACTCACGTCATCTTCGACATGGACGGTCTTCTTCTCGGTATATCTTATCTGTTCTCTTCTAATGGATCGCATTAGTGAGTTTTTACCCATTGGATCTAAAACTAGTTTTGCTCATGATTTGGCGTATTTGATTGTTTGGATTAGTTCATTGTTTATGATGAATTGTAACGACTTGTTTAAATCTGATCTGGAACCCCCTAGTTCATTCATTAGTCACTTGATTTTCTCTATACAGTCTCAATGGCAAAAAAATTAGCTGATATTGTAACCACTTATTTGTAATCTTCTGCTCATATTTATCATCAAAACTTCTATATATATGTCACTAGTTTTTCGCATCTATTTTTGTTTTTACAAAATGGAGATAAGCTCATGCCCATTTGGTTTTTTGTTGCAGACACGGAGAAGTTTTACACTGAGGTACAGGAGATCATACTTGCTAGATTCAACAAGACTTTTGATTGGTCTCTCAAGGCTAAGATGATGGGAAGAAAAGCTATTGAAGCTGCCAGGATCTTTGTTGATGAAACTGGGATCAGTGACTCTCTTTCAGCTGAGGACTTCCTTGTCGAGAGAGAGGCCATGTTGCAACAACTCTTCCCTACTAGTGAGCTTATGCCTGGTTCGTTTCTTGCTTTTTACATCCTTTTTTTTTGCACATAGACAATATTTTTGGTTTATGTGAGTAAGACAGAAAGGCACACTGCCTTTGCGTCAAATCATTATCATTCGAGCTGATCATATTATTTCAGCACCGGCTCTTTTGTAATCATTATCAACTTTTATTCCACTGTTTTCAGGGGCTAGCCGGCTCATCAAGCATCTCCATGCTAAGAACATTCCTATTTGTATTGCTACGGGGTATCTCTTTTCTTCACCACCACATTCAATTTTACAGCTTCTTTTTCTTCCTTTTCAATCCGGGAACTTGACTTTTTAACTTTTGAATGCAATGGTTGCAGTACTCACACACGTCACTATGATCTAAAAACACAAAGACACAAGGAGCTTTTCTCACTGATGCATCACATAGTTCGCGGTGATGATCCTGAGGTTAAGCAAGGAAAGCCTGCCCCTGACGGTTTTCTCGCTGCAGCTAGGAGGTTTGAGGTAACTACACAACGACCTCCTCCTAGATGCTTCATTACTAATACATATACAAAGACCCATGTGATGTAAACTAATGTCTCCTCTTCTTCGGGATACTTTAGGACGGTCCTGTTGACCCACAAAAGGTTCTGGTATTTGAAGATGCTCCTTCTGGAGTTCTTGCTGCTAAAAACGCTGGAATGTAAGTGGATTTCTCCTATTGAATAAAACCAAACAGATGAGTTTTTATTGTTTAGTTTCAGACGCAGTTATTGATACACATTCAATTTACTCCACAGGAACGTGGTGATGGTGCCAGATCCTAGACTAGATATCTCTCACATTGACGTTGCAGATCAAATCTTGAGTTCACTAGTCGATTTCAAACCAGAAGAATGGGGTTTGCCTCCATTCGAGGATTCAAACTAAAGCCTTCTTCAAAGGTAATGATAACAAGTCAGAAATCATGAATGTGTGAGAGTGAGAGAGCGTGATTGTTTGTCTTTTTATATACTATTTGTTTTGGCACTTATATGACAAGGCCATGAGGTTGTATGTCGTCAAGGGTTATGATGTTTTCGCTATTGAAGCAGCCAAAAAAAACAGAAACTAAGTTTGTGACATGACAAGAGACCAAACAAAAAACTGCCTTAGCGTTTAAACAAAACTTTTGTACAAACTCTTCCTCTCAAGTCCATACATTGGCTTGTTTTTGTCGGTTGCTGGATTGATTTCTTCTTCTTTATGGTTGGAATCTCCGTTCTCTACGCATCACTAATATGTGTCATTTACAAAACTTCGAATCAATCCTCTATTCAAACATAATCATCACTCAAAGAGTGCGTGAGTTGTGTATTGACTTGTAGTCGATAAAAATAAAATAAAGTTTAGTTGTGTTGTATTTTACTTCATTTTGCCATTACATCCACACGATTAGTGATTTTAACATTGGTGTTGTTACATTCATTTCGTGGGAAGATAAAGAGAACAAAGAAGCAGACAACATATGATGGTAATTTTACAATAATATCCTTAGGAAACACCGACATAGCGAGGCTGCAGCTACAAAACATCTCTTCTGACATCGTTGGCAAAACGTTATCTCTACTCACTCACTCACTCGTTTCTTCTAACCTTTCTTGTGTTCCCTTTCACCGGCAAGATTCGAATTCTCTTCGCTACTCTAACAAAGTCCCTGTGTCCTCACAAAACCAAATCTCCCATTAACTTCCAAATATTTACATATATATTCATTTACATAACTTCAACCACACGATAACAAACTATAAAGTTGTTTAAATGTCATCTAACCGTATAAAATTAACTAAACCAAACACTGATAAACTTAGTTTTTTTAAAAAGAAGCATATGATTGTCTTGCATGAACGCTCGTACAAGCATAACCATCTTTTAGCATGTATATATGCATATATGTCAGAACTCCTAATTATTGTAAAGCACATAAAATATCTAACTTAAGAAAAAAATTAACACATTAGAAATTTAACACGGATTTAGAATAGTTTAAGATGGTCCAAATATATATAATTAAGTTAGTATCATATAATAGAAGAGATTATTTAGAGTTAAAATAAGGAATATATTACTTCCAACTAAGATCACCAGCGAGAAGGAGATCGTTCTCCATGTCTTCATAGGCAATAAGATGGCCAGGAATGGCGTTGGAGAGATCAAGATCGTCAGTCCCTGAAGTCGAATCAGCTCCATCGACAAACATTTGCCTCAGAGCCAAAGCAAAGGTTTGATAACTCTCATGCTTATCTAAGCTAACGCGTTGGCAGATAGAACGTCCCTCGAGCACCACGGTAACCGGAGGAACCACAGATGAAACTAGATCGTCGTCGACGTTGAGTCCAAACTTTGGGAATCTCCCGGCAGCTCCTGAGCTTGAGCTACTAATATTAGGGTTTCTCGAAAGAGGTTTAGGCATGAAGGATGGTGTTCTTGTCGTGGTGTCACGAGGTTGTTGCGTTGTGTTGTCTTGATGAAACATTCTTTTCGATGAGTCTTGGGCTTTGTGGCTGGAAACTGCTAGTACTGATGAGATTAGGGTTTTAGCTATAGGGTATTTGGAACTATAACGGTTAAAGGGAACTCAAAGTGTTTCGTGTGTTCAAAGATAGAGAGCAAGAGATTGTGTTGAGTTGGTGTTGATGAGATTCTGGTAAAAGTTAATGTATGTACTTATAAATAGTCAAATAAATAGAGAAGACGTAAATTGTGTGCCAAAAGGTGTCTTTTATTTTGTTTATTATTTTTGTTTCATTGTTGTCTTAAAACTTTTTTTACTTGTTTTAATTTTAAAGTACATCTGCCCTTTGAGTTTCCCGTTTAAAAAATGAATCCGTAATTAAAAGTTAATTTACTATTAAATTATTGTAGAAATGTTCTCAACTTGTACATTTGTATCAAAAGATATTATTATTACAAATTTACAATTAGATTGCATTGATCTATCATTGTTGGGACAATAACTGTTACTGGAAATGCTATATATTTTTGTGGTGTGTTACAGTAGTACCATATCTTATCAAACCAATTTTCAACTCAATTTTGTTCTTTCATTATTCACCTTGTGGTGCACAAGATATATAAAAGCACATATATAAAAATAGGTCGTGTTCCAAAAAAAACAAAATATAATAAATAGGTCTACGTGGACAATAAGCAAGCTGACAGAAAAACAAAAGTTGAAAAACAATAATAATAGAATAAATACGAACTCGGAAAAGACTTAATAAAATGACACGATCAATAAAATAATGAAATAAGGTATAGAAAAAGAGATCTTGTAAATTGTAACGCATGGACTGCGGAGACGACCGCGCTCCCGTCGCCGAACGCCTCGCTTCCTTGACTCGCGCCTGGTCGGGAGATCCACGTCATCTTCTTTTCCTCACATACACCAATACATATGAAGCAGACCAAGAATGTAAGCAAAAAAAAAAAAGTAATAAAACACAAACAACAATTCACACGTCCATAGCACATACACACCTAGCTACCTTTTCTTAACAATTCATCTCATACGCACACCGATTTTGAGTCTGTATTAATAACAAAAAGTCAGTGTAAACTAGTTCAGATACATTTGTCTTCAAAAGTTTATAGGTTGACGAGTTATTTCTCCATAAAAAAACTGCCATATAGCACTACATATCTCTCATGACTATGTTCCATATATCCCAAAATCTAAAGTTACAGACTTATGTCCCCATGAAAATTGGTTTGGATGGTTTGTAATGTAAACTAGAAATCAAACCTCCAAAAATAAACCAGACAATAATGAATCAAGAACAAAAACCGAACCGAACTTAACTAGATTTGGATCGTAATCATGTACTTTGTGGTTTATTGAACATAACCAGGATTTAATTTGGTTTTATGATCGGTTTAATATGGATAAATTTTTTTTTAGAAAATAGTATGTTAATTATAACCAACACTTGAGGCCTTTCCGATTTTGAACTTTATTTCCGGAAAAAATGTAAGGGTTGAATTTTTTATCTAAGAGAGATTCAAATCTATAATTTTTATTTGAGAATACATATAGAACGTGGTATGGTCACAATTTGGAAGACATCTGTATATAACAGTTTTTGTAGGGAAATAGATCCTCAACTCAAAGTTCATAAATAAAATTCGATTACTGACGCAAAATTTTCATGTGATTGTGTAATTGGATGAAATCAACCTAATCTAAAAGTCTACAATTCTAGATTTTAGTCCGCTCAGCTATCCAAAGAATAAATAAAAACATGTTCATAAAGATTGTAGCTAATTTTGTTGGAGGTATACCACTGATTCCAAATTAATCTAGCATAATAAAGTGTATATATAATACGCACTAGTTTTGTAACCATAAGTACTATACGAGTGTATTTGGTTTTCGAGACCACTTTTTATTTGAGTAATAAAATATTTTTTTTGATGTGAAAAAAGTACTATACAAATATACATTTCTTTTGGTTTTTGTTTGTTGTTGTGGAGAGTGTTGTCGTATTTAGGTCATGGGCCTAATGGGCTCGAAAGTTGGCTATTGGACTCTCGGGTTATTTGTTTGGGCTAAAAGGGGAGATACTTTAGAAGTCCAGAAACACGGGTTGGTTTATTCCGTTAAAGTGGCGAGGTCCGTTAGTTAACAACCAAACGGTAACGTCTAACAACCATCATCATCTTCATCGTTTGATATATAAAACAGAGGAGTTACAGAAGAAAGTACTCTACGGTTTACAAGAGAGAGAGAGACGAGGAAGCTACCAAGTTGGAGGAGAAAGCTCGATCAAGAACAGAGAGATCAAGGTGCGGTCAAGCTCTTGCGATCCTCAGCTTTCTCCGGATCACTCTGCGTGTTCTCTTCATCGGAGGAATCGGAGGAATCGGAGGCTGATAGTGAGTCGTCTTCTTCGCAGAGGTCTTGGTACTCTTCCTTGAACAACTCTCGGTACAAGCTCTTATAATACCTGCACAAGTGAGTGTAAAAGATCGGTTAAGATCACGCTATTGTATCAAATCGATATCATAGTGGAATCATGAGAGTTTAGTTCTCTCTCCAGTCATTAGGCAACGAAGACTGGGTCAACAAAATCTCTGTGTTCATTTGCGTTTTGATTGATTCAAGTAGTATCACTTGTTAGTATACATTCATCAAGATTCGAAGAACTTAGGGATAACTTGATAAGGAAGCAATCGAACCTAGTTTGATACCTAACAAGTGGTATCAGAGCCAGGTTCTCGGTTTAGAGAACTAGGTTTGTTCAGCGGTTAAGCTGTGATTGTGGTTGGGAAGTTATCTGTGTTTGTGGAGTTGCTGTTTGTGAAGTGTGTTATCTGCAGTGATAGCTATGGAGTCTGTTCATGGCAAATTCAAGATGGAGAAGTTTGATGGTACGGGTGATTTCGGTATGTGGAAGTTCAAGATGTTAATGCAGCTGGAGCTGCAAGGGCTGGGACACATTTTGGCTGAGGAAGAACCGAGCTTACCTAAGGAGGAAACTGATGAGGATGAAGATGTTGAGAAGGAAAAGGAAGTTAAGAAGGATAAAGATCCTCTGTCCAAAGAGAAAGATACTCGAGCAAAGAACCTAATATGCTCGAGTCTCACCAACATCGTTCTCAGGAAAGTAATGAAGGAGACTACTGCTAAAGGAGTGTGGAAAGCTCTGGAGAATGACTATCAAACTAAGACATTGCCTAATCGCATCTATCTAAAGCAAAGGTTTGCTGGTTACAAGATGGATGAAAGTAAGAGTATTGAGGAGAATCTCGATGTGTTCTTAAAGTTAGTAGACGATCTTGCAAGTCTAAACATTGATGTTTCAGATGAAGATCAAGCTATCCAGATTCTAACGAGTCTACCTCCTCAATATGATTCTCTAGTTCATACTCTGAAGTATGGAAATGGCAAAGAGACGTTGACAGTTAAAGAAGTGACTACTTCTGCTTATGCAAAGGAGGCAGAGTTAAAGGAGAAAGGTCTTCACAAACGTCCTAAGTCAAACGCAGAAGGTCTGGTGGCTGCTAGAGGGAGAAGTGAAAAAAGAACAGGAAACTCAGGAAGGTTTAGGTCTAAGAGCAAAGACTATCGATCTAAGTCTAAAGGCAGAGGTCAACCTAAACCAAGAGAGTGCTGGGTTTGTGGCAAGGAAGGGCATTTCAAAAGAGAATGTCCGGAGAGAAAAGACAACAAGTCAAATGACACAGCTAATGTTGCTCAGGATAAGGAGTTCCCTATGATACTTACTGCAAGTGCTCATGATACGAGGAAGG